TTTTGTTGCTTATGTTTCTGTTAGTAGGAGCTGAGAAAAGACTGTGGTCAGGATTGTGGATGCTCAGCTGCTTGCCAAGACCTTAGAAACAAAATCAGCTGCAGTGAGGTAGTCATGTGGGGCTTGGTTGTGCAAATACCCAGATAATCCTTGTGATAGTGAGAATATTTGAAGAATCCAGGCCTTAGATTTTGAGATAGGGATGGATTATCTTCTTGGCTCATGCCTTATAAACATACTGAAGTCTAAGGCTTCCAGAATGTGGGTCCATGTCTTTTTTCATTTAACCCTATAATGGGCTCATCTGGACAATTATACAAGTTTTATTATAACAGGAGTTATGCAGATTAAGTAAAGATTTATTGTAAACCACAGAGCAGATTTCCCAAAAGTGCTGGTCACTGCCTGTCAGAAGTTGTCAGGGTCTTAATTGCTTGAAGAGGCACTGTACTATTCATTACTGGCTGTAATTTTATATTAAATACTAAAAATGATTAGAAAGAAAGAAGTCTAAAGGCTGATGGACTGAATGAGCTGTTGTTGCTTTCCAGCTGTCCCAGGAGCTGCATAACAAAGCTTTGTGCATTCATAGGCACAGATCCTTATGTCATATTGGTAAATATTTTATGTCCTAAAGCCACATGCCACTTTAGTTTCATTTCTACCAAGTGAAAGAGGGTGTTTGCTCTCATTTGTTTTGAGTGGACTAAGTGAATCCAGGACCTTTGGGATACAAATAAAAATTTTAATGGCATCCTTTAGGGTTAGATTTATGACTAATAATATTTCTTAGAATCCATTTAAAACTAGAAAAACAAGTCCATTGGAAATTCAGTTCAAACAGATTTGATAGAACAGGGAATTGAGGAAACAAGAAAAAGTATGTGTTTTATTTTGCATATTTCTCATGGCCTCCCAGCCTTCAGGGCTGCTTTTTACTGTTTGAGTGTGACTTCCAAGCCCTGTATCCAACCCAAGAATTATGTTTTTTAGCTATATTTGTGCGAGTCAGGAAGCTGAGTCTCTTCTCTTGAAACTCTGCTTCCTCTCTAAAACCTAAGAGTTTGCCTCAGTTCCAGACTGAGTGACCTGTCCTATCCCTGCCCTGTGTGCAGGGATGGCTTAGGAGAGGTCAGAGCTGTGCCCTGGAATGTGCTGGCAAACAGTGCTTGAGCCCAGCCTCTCCTCTTCCATGAAAGAATGTCAAGGTTTCCTCAAAGGTGTGGTGTTCTGTGCTTAAAAAGATCCTGCTGGACTGGGAAACTAATTTAAATCGTGAATTGAGCCCTGTCCTACCTTTGGTGAAACTTTATTGGGTAGTACATGAGGGTTTTACTCTTTAGTATTTTGCAGTCCACTGCTTAATACTCACGGATCCAGGTTTCTTGTTGCTTTGGCTCCAAAGGTGCTGCAGCTTTGTGCTGTCCATCCTGGGTGGTTCTCCAGGTGGTGATGTGGCACATCCCAGCTGAGGTTTTTATGTGAGAGCTGCCAAGCTCCTCACAAGAGGAGCTTCTCTCCTCCCATAGCAGACTATGGTTGGGTTTTTTTGAGGCTCACCTGTTATTTAAAATGTGTTTTTAATATCTCTCTTCAAGAGAAGGAAGGCTTTGAATACCACCCTCTGTGTTACAAAGGGTGATTTGCATTATGATGTTATCTAGGGCTGAAAGCTAAGACTAATTTGATTACAGTCTCTACTGGCTCTGTTTCTGATATATTTAACAAATGACCAGGTGTGTCCAGAAATGAGGAATGCCAGGCAGGCTGTGCAGCAGGGAGTCACTGGATTTCTTGGATTCTGTTTTGTTTTCAGGTTGTAAGTGGTCAGAGAGTGGCACAGGCCCTGCCTTTGAGCCAGACAAGGTCAGCCACCTGGTCACCTGGCAGGATGGCCGCTGCAGCCCCACCTTCCTGTCTTCTCTTCCCCTGCCACAATCACACGTGAGCCTGGCTACAGGATTTGGATGTGCCACAGTTTACTGGTATTTAAAGAACAGGTACATTGCTCCTCAAAAGGCTGTTTCTCATCTTGAATTTATGTGACAATTAGTATTCTTGTAGCATGTTAATGCTGCTACAGGCTGAGGGGTTGTGCTTCTCTGTGATCATAATCTTAACTAAGTAGTCAGAGTATTTAAAATGGCAGTATTTGATATAAACTACATGCAATTAAGCATGTGTCCTGGTTTAGGGCAAGAGCATG